TGTACATGTATGTTTCCGAATAAATATATTCTGAACATATATTATATGATTAATTTCATGGTAACAACCTTGTATCATAAATGGTAGTAACCTTTCATGTGTAACTACCTCAAAGTTGAGAGCATTTGGCATTTTAATAAACCGAGAGCTGCTTTGATTTTGGAGCTGCGTTTAACCTTGTATTTCACGGGTTTGGTGACTAGACATTCATGGAAAAAGATGTCTAGGTACTGATTTTGGTCCAAATAGTACATAGTAACAAGTTTGACCATACACCAACCAATGATGATCGATGAATAGTAGCCTAAACAATTATGACAATGGGACGGTCTGGCCATGCAACAGATCAACTTGTCGGACTTTAGCTTATTTGTCTGACCTTGCCTATTTCTCGCACATGAAGTATCTAGAGATGGGGACAGTCCGGCCTCCTTGTAATTGACAGGGCCGGACTATTCTGGTTTGTCCGGCCAAACAAATGTACTGTGACTAAACATTCGTGGCCAAATTTTATAATTTAATTAATACTGCAGTAGTATAGATTAAGGAGGTATTTGATCCGATGACTAAAGTTTAGTAGGTGTTATATGGGGTTGTTGCATGGGGTGTTCGGATAGTATTTTATTATTAGCACAAGTTTACTATAACACCATGTTGTCAAATCATGGACTAATTAGGCTTAAAAATTTCCTCTCGCAAAATAGTTTGAATCTGTGAATTTAGTTTCATAATTAGTCTATATTTAATATTACACGCATGTGTCCAAATATCGGATGGAATAGCGGCTAAATTTTAGGAGGTGGAACTAGACACCCCCTAAGAAAATGTTAAAAATAAGCAATTCTACTAAACTTTCTATCTTAACGCATTGGTTAAGCATCTACTTTGTTTAGGCGCAGCCCCGTGTTCGAACTCAGGCGGGGCAAACTTTTTGTTTTTCAGTTTATTGTTATTATTACTGCTTTAACCATAGACTAAAAGAAATAAAGAAAGCAATGCTTACATACAAACTATCCTAGCATAGCGGTTAAGCCTCTACTCTGTCAACTCAAAGACCTAGTTTGAACCCCACGGGGGCCAAACTTTTTAATTTTTTTATTACTACGGCAGTTTGCTCCTGAAGATGCTTGCCCTATATAAACCGCGCTCGGGCGAAAAATTTTTAAGTCCTGGTGCACTTGTCTGAAATTGTAGTGAAGCGCTGCCAAATTTTTCCTTGGCGCCTCTTGTAGCACCTCGCTGGCCTACGCGTCCCGAACCATGTCGCCGCCGACCTCTGCCGGCGCTCCCCTGTCTTCGTCCATCTTGTCGGCCGCGGCCACAACATGCTCGCGGTGGTTGCCTCCACCACAGCCGGCGGAGGAGTCAACCATCGCCGGCACCACCAGTGTGGAGACAGCCGCGACCACGAAGGGAGGCGTCAGCATGGGAGCGGTGCTCACCAGCTCCTCCAACGCGGTGGTGCGGGGGGCCGCGGAGCCCAAGCGGAGCCAGGAGACGAGCGCGTCTTCCGCGGCGGAGGTCGGGAGTGCTTCTTCCGTCGCAGTCATCCGCCATGTCTTTTTCTCCATATTAATGTGATTATTCTTCTAGTCTAAGAATTAGGTATCTACTAATTACTTTTGTTCCCTTTCTGTCTATAATATTCTATGTTATTTAAAAAAATAGTTCTTTTTATTATAACACAAATATTTATTTGGTTACTATATATACTCTTATCGTGTATGCATTTCATCTTGCACGGTTGTTGCCGCTGTCTATTTGAACGCCCCCCTATATCCAAATCTTGGCTCTGCCCCTGACTTTGATGGACCCAACATGGTTTGGGTACCAAGTTTTGCTTCATGAGTGTTGTAGATACGTAAAGATGATATGAAGCCTCGGGGTGCTTGAGCAAGTTTATTGAAAATATTCACCCAAGCTATCAATTAATCTATATTGTATTTTCTTATATGGTTGACCCAAAGATGACTCATTGCAGCTATTTCAAACTTCATACTCACCTCGGTAACTAGTACCTAACCTTTGGTAGCTAGCCACTTAACTTGTGTAGTCTCTAGTAGTTCACAAATATATGTGTGTTTGTGAATTGCTAAGAGTGGCTAGAGTACTTAAAGTTTAAAAGAATCATTTTCCATATGATGCTTTTAATGGCTCTCTAGTAGCAAGATCTTATTCATGTTGTAGGTAATGAGGAACCACCTTATGAGGCAATCAAGCAAATAGCCATTGGTGATATAAGACCACAAAAAGTACAAGCTACAGAATTGGAGGCTCCTCATATCGATCTACAACCTGCTGCTGAAGTATGAGAAGTAGTGCCGCTCTAACTCGCTGCAGTACCGGACAGCAGTAGTGTCGCGCATAGGCGCAGCACAAAAACTACGTTATATGATCGAAACTGATTCAAAGTGCTGATTTTTGCTTCCTATTTTTGTTATATGATCGAAACTGATTATTTTTTTCCTTTGAACAGTGCCTATAGATACTACGTTAGAGAAGGTGGAGTGCATGACCCAGAGAAGAAGGATAGGTTCACTATTTGTATGAGTCCATGGGAATGATCATTTTCTAACCCAACCAAGGAGAATATTGATTATATGAAACAATGCGTTAGAGTATGCCACACATCCCAAGTTCGAGTCTCTTCGCATTGTAAGCGTGGATCCCTTCCTTTCATTTTTCGGGCAGAAGCACATATAATTAGTATTTTGTAATGTGTATATGTAATTGTAGTATAAATACTTTGTTGATCATGTGTGTGTTAATATAGTTAACAAGGCCACTAGTGTGTATTTATGAAATTAATTTTAATCAGTTGCAATCGGGTCTGAAATTTGGTGGGAAAAAGCAATTTTAAACATGGGAATTTTCAAATTCAAAAATTCAAAACGGATTTCCAGAGGTGGTTGCCGCCCCTGATAATGCCTTTTCGAGAGGGTTTCATGTATTTGGACCGCCCCTAAAAAACATTTTTAGAGGCAGTTTGCATACTGCAACCGCCCCTGAAAATCCATTATTAGCGACGGTTTTCCTAACGGAACAGCCTCTGAAAATACCATTATCGAGAGATGGATTTCCTAATGTAACCATCCCTAGAAATGTATTTTCAGGGGCGGTTAAAAGCCCGTCGTTGGAAACACCACATCTTTACAATCGGTGGTATTGCAGCGGTTTGGGCGACTGCCCTTGAAAATTGATTTTACCCGCCTCTAAAATTGATTATTCTAGTAGTGCCACTAACCTTCTCACCGCCTCAAATCCCGGCGCTCCCACTCCCCTCCTCGTCGCCCCCTCCCATCCTCGGCCCGTCTGGCCGCGGCACATCACAGCGTGAACCGCGAAGGCTGGCCGCAGCGACGGCGCTTCACGCGGCGGCGGTGCTTGTCGGTTGCGCATCACGCGGTCGCGGAGGCGAAGCGCTCGGGTGGCTCGGCCATGGTGTACCACGAGGAAGTGAGGGGCTCGATGGCAGTGCATCACACGAAGGGAAGGGGCTCGGTGGCAAGCGCTAGAAGACCAGAACTATTTTTCCCTTTTTCTCTAGATTCATAAATCTGTGTCTGTGCTGAGAGGATTCTGTCTCTATGCTGAGAGGGCTCGGTTAGTTCGGTTATAACCAAACCGAACCGAAATAACCAAAACTGAATTTCGTCGGTTCCTCTTTTTATAAAGAACCGATCGGTCCCTGATTGTGTAGTAATCGAATTTGCTAAAAAACCGAGGAACCGAACCAATCGGTTTCGGTTAACCGAATGCCCAGGTGAGCCGCAGCTGCAGCGGCAGCAGCTGAACACCGGCACCTCCGGGGGGCGGTGCGCAGCGACGGACATGGTCACCCCGCTTGTGCAGCCCTCGGCGGCGAGGCGGCCCCAGTTTGGCCGGGAGGCGCCACCGTCCCCTGCTCCAACGTTCATCCTGAACCTGCAGAAGGAATGAAACAACCAACGGAAATAACAACACTGCACCTTGCTTAGTTGCTTCACTGGCCGACCGGCTGGCCGGAGAGCGTTGCATTGTATTGTACTCCCTCCGTCGCAAAAAGAAAGACGCTATCATACGTGCAAGTCAAACTTTCTCAACTTTAACTATGTTTATAGAAAATACGTGCAATATTTGTATCTCCAAGTAAATTTATTATGAAAGTATATTCAACGATCTATCTAATAATATTAATTATGTATTGTAAATATTAATATTCTTTTATATATCTATGCCTGATAATAAAAAGACAAAATTTCCGTCATGATTTTTTTTTCCACCAATGATCTTACGTGATGTAACTCATTTGGCGGGGCTTCACTTCACCAAAAGCCAATTTTTTTTGCATCATCTAGCTCACGGTGCCTGATAATAAATAAACCGTTTGGCAAAATGGCTTCATGTGAGAGCATGTTTTTAGGGGTCTCAGGGAGAGAGCCAAGCCATTATTTTTGGCTCCTTCCCACCCCAAAGCTCTGTGAGAGCATGTTTTTAGGGGCTTCATCGGTGGAGCCGTTTCATTTTACACCGTTTGGCAGAAAACGGCTCCAAACGGCTCCTGAAGCCGCTGGAGAAGCCCTGCCAAACGGGGCCTCAATCTCGCGTCAACACGACAGAAAAATGGATATGCACACATACAATCCTAAACGGACTCCACGACCCCCTACGCGTCAACATGCCAGAAAAACTAATCCCAATGGATGTGTTGTTTTGATCTTATTAATAATCCCCCCACAATTGACGTTACCTTAGATGTCTCACCGGTCGGCTACAATGGCTTCTAGTGCCGGCGAGCCGCCGTGGCGGCCGAGGCTACCTTCAGCTTGCTCGACCAGGACCATAAGCCGGTCGGCAGCGGCACCACCCGCACGGTCGACTTCTCTAAGTCTGGGTTGCTCGGCTACGGATTCAAATACTTCATCAGGAGCCAAGAGCTGGAGCGATCGGAGTTTCTAAACGACGACTACTTCGCAGTCAGGGTGGACGTGCACATCTTCAAGTAGGCGCCGGTGCCGCCCATGGCGCTCGTCCCACTGTCTGACATGCACCGCCATCTCGGCGGCCTCCTGTCTAGCAAGCTAGGCGCCGAAGTCGAGTTCCTGGTCGACAGGGAGATGTTCGCCGCGCATCGGCTGGTGTTCCGGGCACGGTTGCCAGTTTTCAAGGCAGAGAGCTCTCCGTCCCAACGATGACGAAGGAGGACGTCGCCACCAATGCGTCCGTCATAGAGATAGAAGACATGGATCGAGGCACCTGTGTTTAGGGCTATGCTTGCCTTCATATACACGGACACGTGGCCCGATATGGATGGCCAGGACGAGGCTGCCATGGCTCAGCGTCTTCTTGCCGCGGCAGACAGATAACGACATTCGGAGGCTAAAGCTGATGTCTGAAGATAGGCCATGCAACCACATCGATACGGGCTCCGTGGCGACTATCTTGGCGCTAGCTGAGAAGCACCGCTGCGCTGTTCTTAAGAAGGCGTGCTTGGAGTTCCTAGGCTCCGTGGCTCTGTTTGTAGCCATGAGAACTAAAGAGTTTGAGAGTTTAGCGTTGAGCTGCCCCACCATCACCAAGGAGCTGATATGCAATGTCATTGTTCGCAACAAAGAGAAGAGAAAGACAGTTGGGTGGAATAATCAGGAGAGCAACCAGGATACTGTTTCAGATGATTGAAGAGGAATGCATTTATTTGTAGTGCAGTAGTACAATATGGATATGGGAGAGACTTTTGATCGTTGCACAACCAGTCTTATGCAAATTATAGAGGGTGCCACGTTATATTGTAATAATACATAACAATGTTTATGGGTTTAAAAAATATTGTAATAATAATGTATAACAATGTTTGTACGAGTTAGATCAAAACACAATCGATTTAAAGACGATCAAAACACATCGATTTAGAAGAAAGTCGATAATTGAAAATTTATAAATTGTTTAGTCAAAAGTCGATTGATTATTTAACAATTTAATAAATTGTGTAAACGTAAAAGACGGATTGTTGTGAGGCAAAGCAAATCATACAACTCGACGCCCGTGCCTGGGAATTCCGCACATGTAAGGCATAGCGTTTAGGCACATGGTGCACGCCAAACATTTTCCAGCTACTGCATCGATCCGCTCATCGTCTGAGCAGAGTGTTGTTCTTGGGCGGTCAAGACGACCGACCTGGCCTGTGTCCGTCTTGTCCTCAGTATAGGGTGTGGACACAAACTCTGTCTGTACACGTCCTTCTTCTACTATAATGAAATTGTAGCTGGATTTTGTCCGAGCTTCATGCTTCTCTTTAGTTTCTTTATAAAACAGTAATTAGTAGTAATTATTGCAAATAATTATATATACTTTTCATGGCTTTTCTAGTTCACTCGAGGCTCAATCTGGTCCACGCACTTTTAAAGTTGGAGGATTGGACATTTTATTTTTGCAAATAAGGACATACTCCTTCCATCTATTTCAAATTATAAGACATCTTACAATTTCTAGATGCATACCTTTTGTTATGCACTCAGATAATATACACTATGTCAATATATATCATAAACTTAGTATTTATTAAATTAAAAACGTCTTATAATTTGGAACTCAGAGACTAATAAACACCAAAACAGTCTCTAAATAGTATAATTATAATTGCTTTGGCATGCAAACTGACACCAACTATGTGAGGCCTCAATGCTGCCCAGAAATGTTTTGCCACTGTTGTTGAAGAAAAATGAGAAGCTATCTTAAAACGGCAACACATAACTATTTTTTTATAACATTTTCGCAACATTTAAGCAGCTAACTACCTAGAAGGAGTATGAGCAAATTGGCAGGATTCCTCTTATTTTATTGCCCGAGTGGAGATCCGATGTTTATAAGCAATTTTTGGCAAGAATTGTTCACTGGTATAGAAACGTTTTTTGTTGACACTTGTTGTTCTTTCACTGGCGATTTAATAAAATATATATGCACCAATAGAAATCATAACGTGGGTCCACGACTATGAACAACTGTTCTAAATACATATTTATTAGCAGTTTCCTTAAGCCTATAAATCATGTCTTTAATTTACACTTGCAGTTCTCTTAAGGATGCGCTCGTAAAAGTGGGTACTGTTTATTTTCGATCCTATACATAAAGAATTTGAAAATGTTTTAGAGATACATAAATTCGATGAGCAACCAAAACACCCATAGCATTAGAATTAAAGGAGAGACATCGCCACATCGGAATTCAGGAGGCTTTGATCTTAGATAGAAAGTTCCTGTGGCAACGTCGACCGATCAGGCTGACATCGAATTTACGTTCATCGTAACGCACCGGTCTCAAAAAGGTTTAATTTTCTAACCATTATATTTAATACTACCTTTTGTTCTGTGTGTGCTAATTTACGAGAAAAAACATACTTTATTTAATAGTACTAGAATAGTAGATATCACAATTAGAATCTACAGCTTCTCATAGTGATGTTGAGTTCTCCTAGTATTTAGCATTTAACATTTAGTATGAGCTTCCTGATCAAATACCTCCTAGAGGTGATTCTGATTCGCATGTGCTAGACTGATGTTAGTGTTCTTATTACTACTTAGTTACATCTATCATGATTTATAAATATAATTTTGCAAAGGCCAAATTTTCCAACAGTACTTCATTTCACATGTGAGACTAGATTTGCAAAGGCCAAATTTTCCAACAGTACTTCATTTCACATGTGAGACTAGATTCTATTTTCCATTGTCAAATTGAGTAGTGGTTGCCGGCCTTCCCGACGCGCACCGTCTGCCAAGATTAATTATTGACGGCATCGAAACAAACACCCGGTTTTTGCCGGAGGCCACCAAGCATAACAACCCCTTCTTGCTTGGACATCACCACCGATGATCCCACATTTAACCAGGCACACAGCAGACTCTTTGCATTGCATCAAGACGAGGTCCCCTCATCGATCCTGGCGGCCTCCTCCTTCCACCGCGCTCTCGGCGGTGGCGAAGCCGCGCGTACGGAGCTAGTACTGCTAGTCCTGTCTTCCGTGGTCGTCGCCTTGGCGTCCTCCGCCTCTGCCATCGATGAACGCAACCTCACCTCCGGGTTCGTCCAGGTGGAGCTCACGGAGAGCAACTTCAAGGTGCAGAGGCCCTACGACGTGCCGGAGAACCAGCGCTACAGCTACGACAACGTCACCGGCGTGCGCACCTTCTTGGTCTACGCCGGCGACAAGCCCTTCAACACCGTCACCGGCACCAATCCCCGCACCGAAGTCCGCCTCGCCGTAGGCACCCACCCATGCAACCATGAGTTCACTATTCCTTCTCCAATCTCCATGACGCATATATAGATATATAAGTGTGTTTTTGCTCGCAGGGCCACGACTACTCATCGGGGGTGTGCCAGTTCGAGGGCTACGGGTACGTGCCGACGGGGACCTCTGGCGCGTCGGTGATGCAGATCCACAACGAGCAGGGCGCCGCGCACGCCACGGTGCTGATGCTGCATGTCTACAACAGCACGCTGCGGTACTACAGCGGAGAGGCCATGGAGGACAGCATCTACGGCCGCTGGTTCCGCCTCAACGTGGTGCACGACGTCGCCGCGTCCACGGTCGCCGTCTACGTCGACGGCCGCCGCAAGTTAGGCGCCAGCGTCATCCCCAGTAAATCTTACTACTTCAAGTTCGGGGTGTACATGCAGCACCACGACGTGTCGCCGCTCATGGAGTCGCGCTGGAAGAACATCACCGTATACACGAAGAGCACGACGAGCAGCGCCATGACGTGTCGCCGCTCATGGAGTTCGCGCTAGCTAGCCTTCTACTAGTTAGTCATTACTCTAGCTATATCCATTTGAGATTTCGAGTTGAAATTTAAAACGGTTTCAAACAATACATTGCCGATCGAGCTATAGACAGCTAGTGTAGGAGCACTCGCTAGCTCTTTGATCCCTCAAAAAACTCAAAATAAAAAATAAAATGTTTTTTGTTGTTGTTGAGGAGATGGAGATTATATTTTTGTGTCACGAGTGTCACTATTCTACGGCTGTAGCTACCAGAGCAGCATGGCAGCCTTATATTAGCTTGCTGCTGGAACTGAAATCAGGAACCCAGGCCGGCAGTTGACCGGACCATGTTAAGTTTCCGGCGATTGGCAAAGGGCAAGCGTAAGTTAGTGGAGTCATTCGCGTACGCGTACAAAAAGATGGAGGCAAAGGATGGTCGCCGCCGCAGCTGCTACGAACAGCAACGACGACACGACGACGGCGACGATGCCAATCTTGATCGTCTTCGCCATATGCTGCAGCTGCTGGTGCCGATTTCGGTTTCCCTCACGGCGGCGGCGGCGGCCGTCTCGCCGCGGCTGGTGGTGGCGGCTGGAGACGCGCGGCCCGGGGTCTCGCATGACGACCTTGCTGCCGACCAGCACGGAGTTGGTGACCCCTTGCACGTTGTTGTTCACGTAGATGTTGACGCAGTTGCCGTGCCCGCCGCCGCAGCTGCAGCAGCCCGACACTGACGCCACCGGCGCGCTGTGCGCAGCGACGGACATGGTCGCCCCGGTGCTCGTGCAGCCCTCGGCGGCGAGGCGGCGGCCCCAGCTTGGCGGAGAGCCAGCGCCGCTGCCGGCAGCCCCAACACCCATCCTGGGCGAATGAAACAGCCAACGGAAATGGCGAGCCCGACGCAGCGTGTGACACCAACACCATATCGTGTCGACGTTACAGCTCGCTCCGTGCTCTCCACTTATAGGGGCCGGCCGGCGGCCCGCCGGAAACTAAAGCACTGCGTTGTCCGCTGCTGGATGCGAGGCCAAGCAAAGCACTGGATTTAGAATCACCGTGCCTTGTAGTTGGAGTGCACGCAAGGTATGATGCCTTATGTTAAGCGCGTTGGTTTCTATTAGACCTGTTATATCTCCGCCGACAAATACAACGCTGTAAGCTAGCCCTCACCTGTCCGTACAGTCGTCTGGGCTAGAAATTTCACACACTTGGTCTCGTTTCGTTTCTCACACGCTCGTTCCATCCATCTTTACAAAAAAACACGCATTTGACCTCCTCAACTTTTTTTTGATAAAGGAAATATTCCTCAAATTGCCTAAGCCTAATTTTTACTCTCACTCAAATCATAGAACCAAATATCCTTTGCACTCAACAATTATTACTGAGCAAATCATATCATTGAGGCCTTGTTAGGTTAGGCCCTCCTCGGCCGGGGTCAAGGGCCAACCTCGTGGGTCAGCCCGGCGTGGGAACACCTTGCCTATGAAAAAATGCGTGTTCGTTTAAGTCCAGTCAAGGACTCTGCCTCGGCCTACCCCAGCCTTTTTCCCTCACCCCGGTCCAGGAACGAAGCCCGACCTATATAGACGTGGGAGAATTTCCCTTCGACGACGGGGATAGCGGACATGACATGCTGGCGGTCACGATACCTGGTCTAACCAAACATAAAAACAGCGAGTAGGGATTAAAGCTAAAGGGTAATTATCCCCAACAGAGATGCAGTGATAGCCAGAGAACCACTCGTTCCTAGGGTGGAAAAGATCCACTTGGGGATTGGATCCCCATGAACCTAACATAGCCTCGATGGTTTTGCTGGTGATTTCGGGTGGAAAAGTCCAACCAGCCCTTGCTCTCTAAATTATTAATACCAGTCAAATTACACCATTCATTGAATTTAGAGATAATTTCAGATGGGAGTGTCCTTGATATGTTAACGCTCTTGTGCTGATAGTAGGTCCAAGTCAAAGGCTATTTGGATCATTTAGGCAAATTGGACATCTCGCCGACCTTTCAACCATACGACATCCATCAACTATTTGATAAGTCTAAATTTATTTCTCCCGCAACTACAAAAGAATATCAACTAAGCATAGCCTGTTGGTTACGTTCCTTATAGTGGAACTTGCCTACTTGGGTTAAAGTTCTTGATTCAGCACGGATGCTCTCATTTTTAAAATTATTCTAGAATATAACGATATTATTGTCTGGATGTTAGTCAACGAGCCCATCAACATTGAGGCGCTTGTGATAGACTTCAGTCTTTCTAAGTTAGTTATAGTTGTAGGGTGTGCATGTGCATTTTCATAGGTGCCCAAGATATATGCCAAGGAAACTACCATGTGAGGCATAACCCCATATAAAATGTATTGCAGGTGATAAAACATTGGCAGTTAAAGCAATAGGTAGGGAGATGTGAGATCACCTGAACAAGCTTGGTGGCTTTGATCCGCATCGATGGCACCACCTCCGACCCAAGCCAAATTCTTTGTTGAGACACGTAACTTGTATAGGCATAGGAGACTCATAGATTTTATTAATCGTGTCATTCGTTCTAAATCATCCTAGATCAGACCCTCTATCGTGTTTGGACACTAACTTATATAACCGAAGAGAGAATAGCCACTTTAATATTAGTATATAGTATTTTTTTCAAAAAAAAATATAGTCCCTTGAAACATATCCAAAATACTTTCTAGAGACCAGACAAACAAAACTCAAACACACTCCTATAATTCGCTTGTGTCTCTTCCACTCAATTTGTATACGACGATTAACTCTACCTATTCTCTATGCTACAACCCTTGATGAACATGTCATGACACATGTATAGGCAAAAAAAAACGCTTGATTTATTGCCTAGTGGTTTAATTTGATTGGTTTTTTTAGTCAGGCTAGTTGAACCACCAGCTAATGCTCAAATAGGATGACTTTTGTCATAAATAAAAATAAAAAGACATAACAACAGTTTAGTGTTGGGGAACTTTATCCAAAAATAAAGTTATGAGTTCACTTTTCTGTTTTACACCAGAATTTTCTTATCCTTATTATTTTGCCTTCGCTACCGTGCAAAAATGGAAAAAAGAAAACACGGAAAAAACATAAATGAAAAAAAAGAAAGATAGCCCAACATGAAACAATTAATCGAAAAATGGCCTTTGGAGATACGCAGAGAGCCACCGCCCACGAGACGTCGCCCGCCGTTGCCGTCATCTATGGCCTCTAGTCTCTACTGCTTCCTCTCCGAGGAATCTATCGGTGTCATCAAAAAAAGAGAAGGGACCATCTCTCTTTTACAACTATTTTTTTAAATCTAGTTTACCAAGGGTTTAGCCAAATAAAGCCACTAACAAAATCAGATTCGATCAGGATCTTGTTACTTGTGATGACTTTGGTGATTGTCACAAGAAGACCTCGTTGTAGGCATTGATTTTATTAGCAATAGACCAATTTGTGGCCATTATCTACAAGGGGAGGAGTGCATGAACAGTACTCTGAGTCATAGATCTCATTATGATGGCCACGGGAGGAAATCAAGTATACATGAGAATTTTTTTTGAAAATAGGTATACATGAGAATCAAGGGGTGGGATATGACTTCCTCGCGTCATAATCTGCAACTAGAGTCCGTTGTGTCGTTACCTGGCCGTCGACCACCACCGTTAGCCACCCGCTCGCTAGTGCCCTGGTGCTTGATGCTAGGGTTTGAGGAATTGGGGTTGGGGAGAAGTATACAAATTATTATAATCAGCCAGTGTTAAGGATAAGTTAAACAATATACCACCGAAATGCATTCCACTATTCTTAATTATAAGACGTTTTGATTTTTCTAGATAGGTAGGATTTGCTATGCACTCAAATATACACTATGTTAGTAAAAATAATGGCCCCGTTCGGCTTACTGAATCTTGGCTGAAACTGACTGAAAAACACTATTCTGGCTGAATTTATGTGAGAGAAAAATACTGTTTCGACTAAAAAAACAAGTCGAACAAGTCGAATATGGGGTAAGCCGAACGGGGCCAATATACGTAGAAAAACCATAGTACATCTTATAATTTAGAATAGATAGAGGAATTATAAATTACTAAAACCAGCCTCTGCTTTACTGCAGCAAACTGCAAACAGCCAGATCCACACAACTGTCAACAGCATACGCCAGCTAACGTGAGCGAGAATCAGAGAAGGCGTGCCACTGCCAAGTGCCAGCCCAGCACTGCACGGCCCAAAAGGCTGGCTGCTCCGCCTCAGCGCCACCAAGGCGGCGCACCGCGTCTGTTTAATCCCGTGCTCTCCTCTCCGTTCCGTAAAACTGGCTCCAAATTCAAATTTCGAACCAAAATGGAACGGATGAATTCCATCCAGACTGCAAACGGAACCAAGGCGGCGCACCGCGTCCATTAATCCCGTCCTCTCCCCTCCGTTCCGTTCCGTGAAATTCAAATTTCGAACAAAACGGAATGGATGAATTCCGCCCAAACTGCAAACGGAACCGTAGCTGCGTTTGCTCGGTTTCCGTCCGCGTCCACTTCTGCCGCCGCCTTCCTGTTCCCGTCCACCCGTTTCCTGTTCCAAATTCCATTCCGTTCAGACGGCAAACGGGACGTACGGAGTAGCTGCGTTTGACCGGTCTCCTCTGTCCGTTCATTTCCTCCCACTAGCTGACTAGCAGCTGGCACTTTAACTTTTCTTCCACGGCGTCGAGCAACGCGCGGTTGGGTTGGGTTTTTTGCTCCGCTCCTTTATCCCTCTTGGCTTCAGGGTTTTCACACGCCTCGTCTCGCCTCCCACCGCTGCCGCCGCCCGGTGTGGAAAATAGACCCAGTCTATTTAATTTGGATTTTGGTGTTTGATGATCAACACAACTAAATTGGATTAATAAATTTGCAAGTAATTGTTTTGTAGTTTAATAGGGTGCAAGACGTGACTTGGACAAAGGCGACGTGATAATCCGATGACTAACACCTTAAGCAAGACCCTAGAAGCACCATAGAAGACCCAAGATATCAAGCAAAGTCCAAGCACGAAGATAGAAACCAAACCGGACGCAAGATCGCGAAGAAACGAGCTTCACAGAGGTGACCGGACGCAGCACCGGACGCTATCCTTATAGCGACCGGACGCTCTGATCAGTTGCTCGACAACAGAAGGCGTCAGCAGTAGCGACCGAACGCTGAAGACTGAAAGTGACCGGACACACCGATGGTACTGTTCATCATCCCGGCAACAGCTCAGCATTTATCGGACGCAGGAACTGCAGCGTCCGGTCGAGTATAGAGAAGTTCCAGAGCAGCGAAATTACGACCAGACGTGTCCGGTGGCATGTGACCGGACGCCATCAGCGTCCGATCAGTTGATCGCGGCTCTAACGGTCGGGACGACTGGACGCGTCCGGTCAGAACGAAAGCAGCGTCCGGTCAGTAGCAGAAAAAGCAGAATTTTGTCCCCAACGGCTACTTTCTCTATGGGCTTATAAATACACCCTCCAACCGGCCATATGAGTAGAGTGGAGCCGAGAAAACATATCTAGGGTGTTCCTACACTATTTTAGTGATCTCCACTTGCATAATGCTTAGTGATTCATTAGGTGATTAGCGTAGGTGCTTTGCGAAGTGCTTAGGTTGATTAGACCACCACTTATGCGCTTGCTCTAGGTTTAGGTCTAGTGTTTAGTGAGGTTTGCATACCTCTTACCACTCGGTGCTTGCGCGCACCATTGTTGTGCATTGGAGGGGCTTGTAATCTTGCGAGATCAAACCAACAACGTTTG